TAGTATACTATAGTATAATATAATACACCAAAAAAATACCAATAGCATACTATCATACTATACCATAATGTACTAGATTGAATAGACAATCCGGAAAACCGACCTGGTCCCGCTCCGCTCAGAGACTGCCGAACGCCTTGGCACGAGCTGCTGGGGTCTGCCGAGAGCTGGCGGCAGAATGGAAGCTGGTACAACAGTAGAAATATGGCGTATATTATATCATATCAAATTACTTGTATATTATAGTAAATTATATTGTAGTATATTATATAGTATATTGTAGTATGTCATAATGTATTATAGTCTGGAGTATAGTATATTATCAAGTATCTTATAAGGCATTATAGCATGACAGCGTATATATGGAACCCTACATAACCTTATTTCAGTAGCTCGGCAAAACCCGAAAAAATGGGTTTAGACACGCGCATCGCTCAAGGCAGGCACGGCAAACATAATGGGTTTAGGGTTCAGGGTTTAGGCCTTCAGGGCTTGTCATGTAGTAGTTTCAATGTTCTCTTCCATTTTCCCTATGTAACCCCAATATATGCCCTATAATCGCTATATAGCCCCTGTGTAGCGTTGTATGTGATCAAGCTAGCTCAGAAGGAATGTGGTAAAGTAGTGATCATCCTCCTTCACTTAGTCCGAGTCCCAGTAATCGACGGCTCCTTCACAAAGTGCCAAGAGCGAAGCGACGGATCGGATCCTCCTCACAGCCAGTGGCAGGAAGCTCTAAAATCCTAAATTGACTTCTCTGAGTGCTTGGCCGTTTGATGCCAATGATTTGCATGACCTCAGTCGAGCTTGCTCAGCATGTTAAGCCATAACTCTCTGAACCCAGGCCCAATCTCTCTATCCTATTCCCGAGAAGCTTGCACAAGTTTTCACCGTGGTCCACTTTGGCCCCGCGCATGCGCAATCTCTGAATGGCCCCACGCAATGTTTGAGTTTCAGTTTCTTATTTTGTGGCAAAAGCTCCACACCTGAGAACACACTGCAATTCTTCTATTCCCTGCGGAGACGATGCAGTACGTGGCTGGGCCATGGGTAGGTCCAGAAGAAGCCCGAGGATGTTCCATCAGGCCGCGTACGTTTACAAGATACCTAACTGTACAGCTGGCAAGCACCCTCACTGGCCCTTCTCAGAAGCCTGCTTTGAGGCTTGGCGCAGCACCTCCACGACCTATCACATGCAAGATGGGAAAACCCAACCAATCCACGAGAACATGCCCCAACCCATACCCTGCGACGAGTAGATCAGCCCAAAACATGTGCCATGATCAAAGGAGACACTCATACAATCCTTCACGAAGAATATTTCGCACGGGAAGGCTGGGAATTGCTGGCAGACAGTGCAGGCTTTGGGGGTGCAGTCATTCACGTTACAAGGTCAGATGCGTGAAGTCACACCCTAGCATCCTAGCCAAACTGCTCTCGTGCCAGAAGCCCTAGGTGCGCAAACCTTGCTGTTCAACGTGCCCTCAGCATGGTCAATGGCTTTTTGTCCATTCTCATCCTGGGCGTTGACATCCTTGGCAACGAGGGAAACAGCCCAAATGGAACATTGCCAGGAGACAGCGACAACGACTGCCTCATTACAAGAATGAAGGGACTAAGGACTCATGATGGCACCATCCCAGAAACTCCAGAAAACAAATGACCGCCGAGTGGCAGCCTTGGCTGCACAAAGGACCTTTACGCACTCGAGTTGCTGTTGCATGGCAGCATACCTTACATGTCTTGGCTTATCAAAAGAACACTTGTTTGCAAGCTTCATACTCCGACCGATCTTCACTCTCTTCAGAGATGGCATCCTTTCGGGGTCTTGGGTGGAAATCCTGGCCAGGTCACATCAGCGGCGTTTCCGCCCTTGCCGGGATGAAGGATTACCCTGCTAGAGCTATCTTACGACACGCAACCAGAATTCGACCGCATAGGCTTCAAGATCTCAAGGTACGGTTGCTTGCAAGTATTTGGAGATGCGGGGTGGTAGCCCACAGCAGCCCGTACGTAGCTCAGCTAGGCACGGGCAATCTTTTGAAGGCCGGCCGAGGAAATGGGAGGACTAACCAGCAGGTGCGGGCAGAGGGTGCTTCTGTCAAGAACCTGTCCTATAATATACCATAATGTATACTATGACATGTGCTATAATATATTATAATGTATGCTATAATATATTATAATGTATACTATAATAGGGAAAGTGAGCATGTTCTTCAAGCTGCTTTGCCCACCAAGACGACCCAGGCTTGAAAGTGGGACTTGCAAAGCTCGATTCTGATACTTTCCTTGCCTATATTATAGTACATACTATAATAGAGATCTTACTATACTATAGTAACTTCCTTGCCTCAGGGTGTGCGCTTCCAGAGGACACTTGTGCTGGATCAGGAGGGCCAAGAGCTCCTGCTGCCATGCGAATAAGATGCCAAGCAGTCGTATGGGCAAAGCTGCATGGATGCCCATGCCCTCCACCCTCAACCCTAGAGTCTTTGCACCCCTGGCAGCCTTGTTGCCACTCTGGACGGCCCCGAAGAGGCCATTCTGGCCATCAGAGTCCTGGTGCTCCACTTTGGCACGCGCTGCCAAGAGGTCCTTGGGCTTTGCATCCAAACTCTCAGCTTCAGTTTGCCGACAAAAGGACCGCCTTTGCTGCCGAAGCTTCTGCGACAATGCTATCGCGGCCAACTGCACAGGCAAGAAGCAGCGCGTTTTTGCCACCCTTGCTCGGCTGGTCCAGCTGACAGGTCAGGGAAGTGGCCCAGAATTTTTTCACACGTGTGAACGCATCTTGGGGCTGGCTTTGGGGATCAAAGGCCAAAGAGCTGCGCCTTGGCATCCTTGCTGATGAGGCCACGAACAACTGCTGTGTGCCTGGGGATGGCAGGCCTACTCTGTGGGATGCTTCCCCCTGTGAATCTGCACCAGCTCACCCCATAGCCGCCGCCCACATCAACGCCGTTTGGTGCTCGGAGTCTAGTTGGTTCACCTGCATACACACACACCTACTGTCTCAACAAGCAACTCAAACAAAATTATACAACTTTGGGGGACTTTGCGATTTGCATGATGCTTGTACATGCTGCATATTTTCTAGGACACCGGCCCTCCCCCACTAGCCTACCAAGGAAAGTGCTCCCTGCTAAACAGGAGAGCAGTGGAGCGCAATCATGGTGTAACTATCAAAGCTTTGTGATTTGTACTTGGCATCAGGCTTCGCATCACGTCTTAGCAGTCGGAATGTCAAGTCGCACCATGACCTACGCTTCTTCCAGCTTTATGCAAAGGCCTTCGCACCCTCTTCCAACAAGAACTCGCACACTTCCTGAAACGGGCTGAATGCTGTGTGGGAAGCAAGCGGAATCACCAAGTCTAATGAGTCCAATGGCTTGGCTTGTTTAGGCCTTTTCAGAACTAGCCTGCACCGGCTTCGCTTGATTAAGCGCAGATCCAAGTTCAGCTCATAAAGCCCGAAGGAGCTTGCATGCAGCTGAGCTGCCCAGTGCCCATTTGCTGCAGCTTTCATCAGCGCGCACTCACCGCGCTCAGTCACCTCTCAGAGTGCCCTCCTGTTGAGTGTTTGAACCAGAAATCGGGAGCTGATTCTGGTGGAACTCATGATGCGGGCCGGGCTGCGTAATCTACGGCGACTTCAAAGTTCCTGACCAGCATTTCCTCAGTGCACCAATCTCAAACCATGCCCACCAGGCACAATTACCTCAATTTTGAAATGCAGCTGGGCTGCACAAATGTCCAGGTTGCCCGCCAAAGCAGCCCACATCAGCACCGTCCACCCATGGTCATCCTTTAAGGCCTCGCTGTAAACTTCTACGAACCAAGCAAGGGCAAGCGAAAGCAGGCGACCTGACGGAAGCACCGCCATGAAAAGCACTCAAAGCCAATCCTCCGCATTTTGCCAAGCATCTATGGAGGCTCCTTCGTCAATCAGCTGGCGGACGATTTCCTGATCAGCACATGACCAGCCAGTTTGTCCTACCTAGCACTACACCAAGAAATTTGTCCATATTTGTCTAGACTCGAGCTCGTCGTTCTCGGCAGCCTTCCTTAGTTGTCTGGATTCTCCACAACTTACTCGTTTGGTCTCCTGTGGTTGCAAGCAATCGGCATGAGCGCCGTAACCCCCTCATCGTCCTTCACATCCAGCACGCGTTGCTTCTCAATTTGCAGGAGCTTGGTGCTGTCGGAGCCCATGATGCTTCCGCTCTTTTTGCCTCAGATCACACACATTGTCTAACTTGCTACTCTCAAGTGTAACAAAAGGCAATGAAAACGTTCAAGGGCTTCTGTCAAGGTGCGTTGCCGCAGCTGCGCGTCAATGAGGAAACGGATCACGTCTACGTGCCCGCATTTGCCTCAATCATTTTGAAGGAATCCACAACCTACAGGATTCCGATATAGGCACGCCTTACCACCTGTGGAAAGGGCATGGCCTGCCGTGCACAATGGATTGTATGATCTGCAAAGTTTGAACCCGAGATGTAGCACCTTACCTCTGCCCTGACGGGTGACATGCGAAAGATTTGTGATGCATCAAGCCGGCCGAAGATGTACTCTAGTATTAACTTCCGATTATCAAAGGCCACGGAATGGAGCAAAGTTTTCCCAGCAAGGAATAATTTAAAGATCACGGAATAGAGTATAGAGCAAATAGTTCCTGGCACGGACCGACCCCCCAAACAACTTTTCCCAACTTGATTGGGGGATCCCGGACTATTGCTCCACAAGCTCCTTGCTGCCGGGCTGCAAGCCTTCATCAGGGCAGTTTCGCCCGAATCATCTTTGGCAGAAACGCGGGCGCCCTTTTCCACAAGAAACTTAACTACCTCGCCGCGACGCAGGGCTGAACAGCGAGAAAACCCTCAGCAGCTTGGCGAGCAGCGTAGCTGTAACAGCCACAATCAACAAAAGGGCCCTGCAGCTAAGCTACATGCAGGTGGCCAATTTCGGCAGCATACATCAACGCGCAAATGCCCTCGGTGTCCTTTTGGTCCACCTTTACCTTCGGCTCCTGGACGAGCCACGCATCATACATGCATGTTCCGACCCGCGACGACGTGGCACAAGAATCCTGCAATGCTCGCTGGCAGGCATCCACTGAGCCGTTCTTGGCAGCCTGGCGGGCTTCAGCTGTGATGCCAAAGCCTTCACGGGGTAGCAACGCTTTCTTCCCTTGCCTCAATAAGGGGATGGGTCGTGACGGTGACTCCCTTGCCCTGATGGTTCTTCAGCGCCGCGAGGAGATTGCTCGTCATTGCTCACGAATGCAACACAAACCCTCTTCGATTCTGAACAAGCAGGCCAATCCGGTTCGAAGTTTGCTTGTCTTGCTGAAATGTGGTCCAGCTGGCAGGAGTGGTGCTCTTGCAAGTTGCCCTTAGACCCAGATCAGACAGCAAGGGTTTCTTCGGCTCAACTTGGGCCATGAAGGCATGCAAGGGTACAGTGTGAATGGAACAGCTCAAGTTAGCGGCTGATGCAATTCGAGGAAAGAAGGGTGACTTGCATCTGGGTGCTGCGCTGAGCGTCCTCTGAACCGTGCGGTGAGCGCGCGCCCTGCCATAAGCTCTCTGATTGACAGAACCCATGTCTTAAAAAAGGCCTCATGTGAAAATCGTCTTGATCCTTAGAAGCAAACTCTTGGTTGGGCCTGGAAAGGTATCTTGGAGCAACTGTACTCATCATGGTCCGGTGAGCAATGACAAAACAATCTAGATGCAACAGCGTGTGGGAGACCTGTAGCAGTTGCCACGGCTGGCAAGGGACGGTCACCACTGCACTCCTGAAAGATGCCCAGAACATCCATGAAACGAAGCCGTGAAACTGCTCCGGTCCTCCGCATTGCAGTGGTTGCCTGCCCTCTTACTGGGCTGGGCCAGCGCCTAACTACAAGAAGATGTGACTTCCCTGCTGGCACTGCGAGTTCATGAGCTGAGGCTTAACCAAACTCTCGGTGAGGCACGGACGAGATTGCTCGGGAAAGGGCAGGCGCTGAGAGTGCGCTGAGCCAATACTGTGCATTTCAATAGGCATGTCTCCGAGAGTTCGCTAGAACATGCCATTGCTTGCATGAATCCATATGAGTAGTGATAATAATGCTGATAATTGCTGTCATTGTTGTTATTGTCAGCACACTGGCGCAACCCCACTCTCACTGCAGAAGGGTCCTCAGACATGAAAAAATCCGTGTGCATCAGGACTTGGTACTCTTTTGCGAACACCAGAGCGCGTGACTTGTCTCAAGTGACAAATTTACTCATCTCATGCAATTGCATGAAGCATACTGCACAGCACTCTCTCTTTTGAGAGAGTGAATTGGCGAAGAAAGATCTACAGAGTCTAGGGGCATCTCGCTGCAGTTTTCCGTGCCCTGTCGGTCATCCGAAGGCACTTGCAGAAGAAGCCCAGAGACGGAAGAGGAGACCTGACATTGGCCGGACCACGAATTTGGGCGAATGTTTCCGCGGCAGGCAATTTAACTGCCGTCAGCCTCCAGGCCGGAATTTTGACATTGGAATCATGTTTGGAGTTTTCCGGAGTTGCGCTGCAAACTGCAATGCTGTCGATGTCAGTCGAAGCTGTCTGGACTGGAGGGCGTCGCGTGGGGATCAGAGTCACAGGCATGAAACGGCCAACATGCAAGGTTCCGAAGTCTCTGGTCAGAGTCACAGCTGCTCATTGGCAAGCTCAAGCTGTACGGTACAAGTACGCACGAAGCACGATGGAATGAGACTCTAGGACCAAAGACAGGTACACTCATTGCCACCACAGCTGAAAGGTACAGTTCGTACAGCTCAGCCATGTTAGGTACAGGGGAGACACCAGGAAACTTGGAAATTTCAAGATTGGCATGTAGTCCCTGGCGCTTGTACTTTCGCTCAGATTCCACCTTTTGGTTTCCTCGCGCCTCCCAAAATAGCACACATCACGCATCAAAGTCGATGTCGCCTGGCGCAAGTTGGGCAACAACACTGGCAGTTCAATGCAGCGCACGGAAGACAAACCCTTCGCTCTTCTCGCAACTACACTCAGGGGAATGCATAGCACAGCTGTCATTCCACCTACGCGCTTGGTCAAAAATTCTGACCAAGGAAGCTCACTGAGGTACCTGCCTTCATGTCTTGGCCTTGGTTTTTGGGCAGTCTGAATTTCCAACTAGCATCGTGAATCACCCTTGTCTTCCTTCAGTCGGTAGACCACTTGCTACTACCGCATCCCTGCATGTAAATTGCATCAAAGGACGAGGGGAGTGCACCTGACGCAATTCTTCGTTGCAACACCCCACCCACAATATGCTTCCTGGGGGAGTAGGAACGACCACTTGCTGCTATCACATCCCACACCACACCTACAACGTGCATCCTGGGAGAGTAGGAACATTCAGCCAAGCCACGAGAAGCTTTCAGACTCGGACCCATCAGGACGGCTCATGTACATGCCAGCCTGAACACGAAAAGAAAAGAAAATGGAAACTACTATAATGGAGAATCGAATGGAAAAGAAAATAGAAAATCAAATGGAAACTGGGATTATAGGATTTATAGAGGTTATATACTATAATGGAGAATCAAATGG